CACTCCAACTACCGCCAGTCACTCCAGCTACTCCAAGCCACTCCAACCACCCTCGGTCACAACTACCCCTAGTCACTCCAACTACTCCAAGGCACTCCAACCATCATCAGTCACTCCAACTCCCCCCAGTCACTCCAACTCCCCCCAGTCACTCCAACTACCTCCAGTCACTCCAACTACCCCCAGTCACTCCAACTACCTCCAGTCACTCCAGCTACCTCCAGTCACTCCAGCTACCCCCAGTCACTCCAACTACCCCCAGTCACGCCAACTACCTCCAGTCACTCCAACTACCTCCAGTCACTCCAACTACCTCCAGTCACTCCAACTACCTCCACTCACTCCAACTACCCCCAGTCACTCCAACTACTACATGGAACTCCAACCATCCTCAGACACTCCAACTTCCTCCTGTCACTCCAACTACTCCATGGACTCCAACTACTCCATGGCACTCCAACTACCCCCAGTCACTCCAACTACCTCCAGTCACTCCAGCTACCTCCAGTCACTCCAACTACCTCCAGTCACTCCAACTACCTCCAGTCACTCCAACTACCTCCAGTCACTCCAACTACCTCCAGTCACTCCAACTACCCCCCGTCACTCCAACTACCTCCAGTCACTCCAACTACCTCCAGTCATTCCACTCCAACTACTTCATGGCACTCCAGCCATCCTCAGACGCTCCAACTACCCCCAGTCACTCCAATCAAACAATGTCACTTTGACATAATTGAAAAAGTATAAAGTTGCATTTGTAATTTGCTTATAGGTTCAAATATACGAATAAAATTTAATTGTGTAATAATCTATCAAGGAGGGTATGCAAACTTTTATTCTGAGTATGCTTATGGGGTAAGACAGGCACTTATGCTAAGATCATGGTTCCAAGGCCATTTGGGCAGTGGCTGGAAAATGTTTGAGAACCACTGCTTTTGAGCAATGACAGCAAAGAGATTTGATGATATTGTAGTTAGTTTAATACAATTCTACTGCTGAATTTTATTAAATAGGTTAAAAGTTGAAAAAATACAAAAAAATTAGATACAGATAGTGTGTTCCTATAGAGCAGGCCTTCACAACATATGGCCTGCCAGTGGCATGCGGCCCACCAGCACCCACTTTGCGGCCTGCGAATTAACGAAATATTCTTTTTTGTTATTATTTTCTAAATAGCTTCCCCCTCTGTCCCATTTTCTTTCGGCCCGCACAAGTTTTTCATAAAGTATTACGGCCGGCCTTACATTTTGAGTTTTTCAGGTCTGCTATTGAGAAAGGAGACAATGAGATATTTGCAAAATTGGAAGAAAGAGAGAAAACAAAACCACTAAATCTTTGACTCAATTTACTGCTTTTATTTTAAAGTTAAATGTTCCTTTTCAAATTCTTTCCCCTCCACTCTTTGATATTTGAAAAATGTTACTCATATATAAAATATAAATAGATAGATAGGCCCTATAGATAAAAGGCTATGATTGATGATAGTTTAACAGTTATGTGTAATTTCTATGTAAATCTCACTGACTGTAACGTCAAACAAATCAAGAATAATTGTTCTGGACTCAAATCTCCTAGCGTATAACACTTCAGCAATCTTCACTTTATTCTATACTATAAGATATAATGACCTAGTGTTACTGGTCTAAAAATGGAAGGCAAATTGCACTACTTGCTACCTGCTATTGTGAAGTCTCAAAATCTAGTAATTTTTAAGTACGTTTGGTTCATGTTTTGAGATATTGCATCCTTTAAAAAAAAAAAGAGGAAAATGTTCACACCCTTGAAATGTATATGTAGCAAATAGAAGTATCTTTGTATTGATGCTTATATTTATAACCTTATTTGATTTTGAGAAATGTTTATCGTCTATATAATATAGGCCCTTCTTATCTTTGTGTGATACTTGGCTGATTTGTAGATTTGTATTAACTATATCCATAGCCTTGGCACAACTTTTGACTTAATTAAATAATTAGGACCCACCTAGAACTAATGCAAGGTCCCACTTTACACATGACACTTTACACATGACATTTTACACATGACCTACTTATTCTGTGCTGTATTAGTCAATATTGTTGTCTTGAATATTTAACAAAATGCTTTAAAAAAAATCTATTTCTGTCTATGGATATTCCAGCGTGACTGGAGGTCCTTGTAGATAGGCCGATCTCCTATTTTAATGTTGTAATCTATAGTTAGATTAGAAAAATGAGCTTCAATATTAGGTAATCTCAGATTTGAGTACTTTACCTGGCACTTAGTCCTAGATTTGCTCTTTGCTCTCTACAATAGCTGTGCTCCTGGGATAGGATTAGAGATTTAGATCATTTGATGTGTAGACATCTACATTAGATTCACCTGAGTGACATTTGAATGACCAAATCACATAGAATGGGGATTAATCTATTCCTACACATTTCTGCCTGTTAACTTAGCTTTTATGTTAAATTCTTAAGTAAATGAAGATAATTGATTATATACTTTCACTTCTTGGGTATAATGAATTACAATTATATTCTTATAGGCATGAAAACAAATTACCAAACTTTTAGCCCAGAATGTTGTATAGAAGTAAGACGTTAAAGAAAATAATTAAAAAAACAAACAATATGAATTGTGGATGGCAGTGAATCTAATGAATGTACTTGGATTAAAAGTTACATGTCACTCATGAGGGAGAACATAGTTGAGACAAGTGTTACTTGTGATCCCTGGACAAAGAGCTTTGCTGTACTTACCACTTTTTTTCATCTTCTCCTGTAGACCTGGTCCCTACCACCAAGAACACAGACACAGAGGCTCACCCAGAGTTGGCAAAAACTAACACTGGCAGTATAGACTCTGACTCAGAGATCAAGAAAACTAGTGTGAAAATTCCTCTCTCCAAGAAGCCTAAGGAGGAGGTAGGGCCCAAAGAAGAGGTAGGGTCCAAAGAAGAGGTAGGGCCAAATACTGACTGCCTATAACTAATAGCCTGTAACTCTAAAAAATTCTAGTCCATGTAATTGTAATGTATATTTTATTTGATAAAATGTTTAAGATTTCAACGGGAGTTGGATATAAGAATATACATTTTGCCTAGCTCCATCTGAAAATGTTCTTAACTTTTGCCGATCTTTTATAACATATAACTGGTGTGTAGTAGCTAGGTATGATTGGTGTGGAGGGGGTGGTTCGCTAGGGCGGCACTTTTTTAATTTAAATTGAAGGGGGGCATTTGACCCGCCCCGGTGGAACGAACCTTAGCTGCGCCACTGCTTAAGAGATAATAAAAACAAATAATTGCAAACAAAGCTAAATGTAAAATAGGATGTTCAATTGATTTCCTCTACTCTATACAATCCCCTGACTTGATTTTATAGTTGGACGACCTTCTCAAGACTGACTCCCTGGACACCGCCTTGACAGCAGATGAAGAGGCTCTCCTCATGTCCTCCTACCACTACACCGGTGCCACGACAAACATCCACCCTTATCTTTCTGCCATGGTCAATTATGCTCAGCCAGTCAAATTCCAAGGTTTTGATGTAGCCGAAGGTAAGGCTTTAAATATGCTCAAAGAAATTTTTTATCTTTAAGTGCTCACATTCAAGGTGGTTTTCTAATACATTCCCATTCAGAATTTCTTCATATAAATCGGTTTTACTGACAAATCACTTTTTTGTCTTCTGTAGACCTGGTTCCTACGACCAGATAATTATAAAGATGAGATAAGAAATCTCCTGCTTAATCTCAGATATGCAAAAATCAATGAATGAACTTATTTTTGAAAAGGGCTCTTAGTCCTCTACACAACAGACGATTCAATTTGTGCTCAAAAACCATATCTTGAATGTGATATACATATAATATATGCAGAAATATAGGTTTTTGGTTTCAGGGATTTTATACATCCTGTATTGTTTTTATAGCAGACACATATATACGACCAATTGACTTTTATTGGGATGAAGTTTTATTATCACTTACACACCCGGGTGCTTGTGGTCAAACATGTATCAATCAGTTAATTAAGCTTTTAATTTATTCTTGACCTGTTCATTTAAGTTAAAATGTTGAACTAATGGGAATGTAATCAAACTGGCAGAAGAAAAAAACGTAAACAGAAAGATTTCCTATGAGCAGTGGTGGATCTGGAATAGAAAATTATTTATGTTTGATCTTTTTGTTTTGTTGCCAGCTAGACCACTTGGGTGATCAAAAACCTTTATTAATTAAACAATATGGACGATATTAACATTATTGATCTCCTTAACATTACATTCAATTTCCATAATGTTTGTTAATAGTATTCTATTTCAGTTAGCTAAATGAGCTGGGCTATAATGGTCAGTTCCGGTTTTTCAGTTTACTGCCAGATATTTTGTCTTTTTATTTGGACCAGTGCAACGACTTCATTTATTCCACTATTTCTATAAAATGACAAGTAATGATTTGGTTGTGTATACCGTGCGTGTTAATTTCAGAGAGGAATATCCAGTACCATATGTCCTCCTTCAATGAAAACACAGGCCTGGGTTATCTGAAAACACAGGCGCTAGAATTTGTCAAGTATCCTTCTCTTTTTATTCTTATGATTTGCCTTGCTTTTTAGCACTATTTTGTCACCATCAGCTTTTGTAGCTTTTCATTTATAACTACTTCATTTACAACTCCTTACTTTAAAGTTATTGCTTGTTAACTAGCAGTTTAATTTTTTTACATATTGCTTATGTCTTATAATTCATTTAACACATAGTACTTTGAAATCAAATATGTCAAGTAAATTGAAATCATCATGTGGAATAATATATAATTGCCTATATACAGTGTAAAAAATAAATTTAACCATACATAAATTTATATTTTTTCCAAAGGAAAATAATCTTGTTATATATTCTTTCCTGGAATCTTCTTTTATTTCTCAATAATTCTGGTGGGCTTAATAATCATGAGCAAAGATCAATTTATTTTTAATTCTGGTTGTAATTGCTGTGTTATACATTCATATTATGGTTAGCAGGGTTGACTACAACCAACCAGAAGCTTCATTTAATGATATGGTGAAAGATAGATTGGTCTGCATAATATCTTTTAATAACCTTGTAAATGTTTTCAAGCATTTAATGCAGTTAACTCTGATAAGACAATGCTCTAAACATCATGCCTCACATGAGGTTATGTCAGTTGCCTTCATATCTGACATAATGATGCTTGCTTGTTCATTTCAATAGATCTCTAAAGGCTTTCTAATAGTACGAAATATAGAGAAAAAAAAAATGCTTTGTACTTTTCTATATGTTTATGCTGTAACATTTCTTTGAACTTCCTTCTAAACAATAATCTAAAATGAGTCTAATAATGCATAGCTCCTTTTGTTTACTTCCTAATTTAGAAAACAATATGTTGCTACGGTAAAATATTCAAAGTATTCATAGATTTAGTGTTTATACTTTGGCATTTTGAATAACTTACCACATTCAAAGTCAGTTAATGCTTGAAATGCTCAAATATTTTCTTTTTAAAAAGTAATGCTATTTTTAACTGTTAAACATGACAAAATGTGTCATTTCTTTTCTGTAATCTCTTGTGTTATTGAACAGTAACTACAACCATTATAAAATTCCCTTTGATACCCTCGTGTACCTAAAAGATACCATATACACTGTTTCTAAATTATCATAGTCAATTCATTAATTAGTCATTACAAAAACAAACAGATCAAAAAGTCAGTTGGTTCTTAATTAAAGTATCAATATTTTAAAAAAATCATTGTGTCAGGTAATCATTCACGTTTTTCTTAATTCATTGTAATTCTGGATCCATTCAAATACTTGCACTTTGCTGTTATGTTAAGCTCAGTAGACAAATCTTGTCTATTGATATCAGATTTTAATGCTGCCTACTACTGATTATATGTCATCCAAATAAAGCATATTATTGCCCATTTTAACAGACTTTTAGGTACACAGGCCCTATTATTGTTAATTTAGTCATATTATCCATAAAATTTCTTTGTCCTTTTAATAAAGCATACACTTGCACATTTTGTTAGACAATAAGGTAAATATGCTCTATGTTAATTGGCCTAAGACAATAAGGTAAATATGCTCTATGTTAATTGGCCTAAGACAATAAGGTAAATATGCTCTATGTTAATTGGCCTAAGACAATAAGGTAAATATGCTCTATGTTAATTGGCCTAAGACAATAAGGTAAATATGCTCTATGTTAATTGGCCTAAGACAATAAGGTAAATATGCTCTATGTTAATTGGTAGGCCTACTATTTGACTAAAGGAATAACTCAATTAAATGAAATCACTCATTTGAGTACATTACTGTTTAGCTTTTCAATGACTTGCACAAATCCATGTCATTAATGTTTAGCTTTTCAATGACTTAACAGATCCATGTCATTAATGTATTATTTATTTCTGCCATGTCCTCGCTACTTGTGTGCACACATGCCTGCATGGATTGTTGCCATCCCTCTCTGTGTGGCCTTGTCTTGTGTTTGTGTGAGTACAGAGGCAAACCTCCACTTCCACATGTCATCCTTCAGTGAAAACACCATGTATCAGATGATCAAACATCGATGCATTGATATTGTGGAGTATCCTTCTCATACTTAGTTTTACATGGGACGCGAATAGCTTTCCATTGAAAGGATCTCTAGCAGAGGGGGTGTGGATTTCTAATTAGTCATTTGTAAAAATCGATAATTAAAGTTTAATTCATGTGAATAAAATTTAATTTGTTTTTGGGGAATATACAGTTTGATGGTGGCAAAATGTTCTTTTATTAGGGTATAGAATCCTTGGAAGATATTTGTGGACCACGTTTGTAGTTATGCTCATTATCTTGATTGAGTTCATATTGTAAAGCATCTATGCTTTAGTTAAGTTTTCTTGGACTTAAGAGTATTTTTTAGAAAAAATTTTAGTAATTTTTCTCCCTCTGATTTCTAAAAACAACAAAGTCAGATAAGAATGTTTAGAAAATAGAACCATTCAAGCTTACTTCAGAACCACTTACTTTTTATATCAATGTTTTCTATTTAACTGCTTACTTTTGTGTGTATTGTTTGTGCTATATTTCTGTCATCAGAACAGAGAAAAAATTTATTTATGCAATATAAATGTGTGTGGTATGAGGCCATGCTGTCTAAACTATTGAAGTGCACTTGAAATGTCATTTGGTTATTCTTGGGTTGCGTTTTTTATTACACTAAATTGTTAGGAGCATCAAATATGATTCAACTGAAACTGACCTACACTGTCTTAGAACTTCAACAACTGAGTTTGTTGTCAAATGCTAGTCTCTTTGGATGCTCCATTATTTTTGATATTCTATAGTATTGTCAGCTTACATTTGACGTACACAAAAAATTGGGCTACATTAAAGTCATATTAACAGCTGGAAAGGATGTGCTTAGAATTCAATTTTTAATTTTAATGGTAACAAATGAGTCAATTTAGAAGACTCAAATTTATCTTTAGCTCCCTTTTTTTGTCATGTCTTTTTAGTTGTGGGCTTAGTAGGATGTGTTTCCATAGATTAACACGTGCTATAATCTTAACCTGTTCATTACTTAAACCCGACTGGATCAACAGGCGTAGGCAGTTTATATGTGATGTTGAATATGCTCCTCTCAAGTAGAATGTTTTATCATAATGGATAAACTGGCAATCCATGATGTTGTAGGGCGTAGCGGCTTCTTTTCTTTTTGTAGACACCAGTAGCACACCCTGTTCAGTGTTTAAAGAGGGCTCAGGTAGATCAGGACTAACAAAAAAGTAGCAGCGCTTTTCAAGTGCCTCTTAGAACTAGATTGATGTGATCAGTGTCCTGACTGAGCCTGTCTAATAACCTAACATGTATTCTTCTTGCAAAGACATGAACTTTCAGCGTGCCCCTGACACAAGCCTCTGGTTGTTGTCAGTAGAGACTGGTCCAAGGCTGATGTTTGTTGCAACTGGGTGGGTTAAAGGTTAGCACAGTCAGGGCTGATGAGTTGCTTACCTTAACATGTGTGCTACTTGAAACATCAAATGGTAGACATGGTCAGAGTCAAGTCAAAGCTCCAACTTAACATAGACATCCGAAACATTAGGTTATTGTTCATATGATTCACTTCCTATTAGTGTATTTAAAGGTTAAATATATGATGAAAAGAACTAATTTAGCAGATAGACTCTAAAAAACCATGTAAGTATTTTCCCAAAATATGCACACAAAAATGATAATTTGATAATTGATTGTTCCTATGAATTGTCCTTATTTTGTCCTAAGTGATAGACAAAATGTTAGCAGCTAATAAATCCCACTTTCCAGTTGTCCATTTTTAGATGATTAAAGGAATTTGTGAGACTTGAAAGGTATCTAAAATTGTGTGTGCTTCAGAGCACTATATCATTTGAATGTTCAATGATCTGAAACTAGAGTTGTTTTTAGCTGGCATGATTTTACTTTTAATGCACATTCTTTCATATTTATACATTTGTTTCTTTCTTCAAATATTACCTTACTCTAGACAGCACCTTAAAAGTTTCTTTGTTGTTGATCAGCATAAGTCCATTTCTTTATGTGTCCATTTCTTTATGTGTCCATTTCTTTATGTGTCCATTTCTGTATGTGTCCATTTCTCCATGATAAGCTGAAGCAAGCATCATCAGTATGTGGTGTCTTTATTGCAGCCATGATCAGGCCTTGATCATACACTTGCACTGTGTGGCATGTTAGCCTGACAGGCTTTGGTTGTTGTGAACTTTTCTTGAGTGTTGTCATAGTTTCTACCCCTTGGCTTCACCATGTGGTGGGTTTGGTGGGGGAGAAATCTATCCCCAGAACACTTGCATTGATCAGTGTAGAGCAGTCATCTTCACACCTCCACTAAAAATCATCATGTTCAAACATGTTTTTACTATCATTCATTCATGAATCTATTGATTCATGAACCCATTCTAATGTAACTGAGAAATGAATTATAAGAACATTTATAAGGTTAACTTTCATTCGAAGATCTGAAACTTAACCTTCTCCACAAAGTATATCCCATTGGTGGAAACATGAAATACAGTAGAACCTCAAATAATGAACGCCCTAGTTAAGGAAAAAATCTGTTAACCAACAAGGTTGGTGAACAATTTTTATCTCTGTTAACAGAATGCTAAATCTGGTTATGAAAATATGCATACTGCTGTACACACAACCCTGCTAGCTCAATAGTGCTTTGGCACGTTTGCAGTAAACATTGTTTGTCATGAATGCAGTGTTAGCAACTTGTGCACTTTTCTCTTATTGGTTATATCATTAGGGATCGTTTTAGTGTAGAAGTAATGAAATAACTTCAATTATAACAGGATAATGACCATTGTGTTTCCGATGCCACAAAGCAATACAATATGCTGAAATCAACAATTTGCAATATTCTAAAGAACAAAGAAGCAGTAAAGGCAACTAATATGTCCAAAGTTATGACTGTGTTTACGAGACAAAGTTTCAAAGGGCTAGAGATATTTGAAAAACAGATGTTAGTTGGGATAAATGAAAGCAGTTGGCGGTAGTCTGTAGATAGTGTTCGCAAAATAACATTTGATGAAAAGGCTCCAGGCAGTTGCACAGGGATTTATTGACCAAAACACAAGTGCCAATGCTGACAACTTAAAAGCCAGTAGTTAATGGTTGGATAAATGTTGCGGAAGAAGAGTCAATCATAGTGTTGTAAGACATGGAGAGGCTGCTAGTTCAGATAAAATGCTCTAGTTGTCATTATAGATCAACACTTCAAGATGTCAAAATACCATATTTCCTTAACTGGAACATGATAGTATTTTAATTAACGTTGATTTTAATGGGAAAAATTATTTCAATCTGCAATCATTTCGGTTTAAGAACAATGTCTCAGAATGGATCAAGTTCTTTAACAAGGTTCCACTGTATATTTAATGCTGTCTATGATTATCATTTACCTAGGAAGTTTTGGTACTTTAATGTAAACTGACTACTCAGGTATTGAAACTCACATTTTTAAGGCGTCTAACATTGAAATAGATACGTTTGAATGCAACAACGTGTAGCATTTTATTTTTTGAGGGACCGGGGATAAGCATGGCATGACCATTTTTCAGCTAGGAATATGACAGTATCAGTATGTTGAAATGTAAAAAAAAAAAGATATGTGAGCTGGTGAGGTGCTCCACCAATTCCAGCCCCTCACTCTCCCACATAAGAGAACAATTAGCCCTTAACCCATTCAGTTACAACAAGCGTCAGATGAGCAGAATCTATCCACGAGGTGGCCGTGTGGACTCCAGCAATTTCCTGCCTCAGGTATAAAACAACACGTCACAACATACTCACAAATAAAGCCATTCTTTAACAACAATAAAAATTTTAATCCATTTTTTTCCCTTTCAATTGACATGTTGAACAACATCAATGGTAACAAAATTGTTGCTTCATACATAAATAAACAAACATTTCAAATAATTTCAATAGCATAAAGATTTTCAATGTTTTCTATGGATAAATCTTGAACAACACCAAGTTGTGCATACTTTGCACTTTGACTACTTCAGCAATGTACAAGGAAGGGCGCAGAACAGGAATATTAGGAACCGTAATCATCTATCTTTATTTTAGTTAGCACTACTCGACCTAAGACAAAAACCATTAAAATTAGACATACCTCAATCAAATAAGAAATACTACTAGATTGAAATGATTGAAACAAAGACAAGATGTGGCTGATTAGCTAAAGCAAACACTAAAAAACTTGGGAGACCTAGCGCTAAAATAATTCTATAGTAACTACATACTGTGAAACATCACCCATTTATGGAAAAGACATAATTTACAAGGACTTACATCACTTTAGATTTTCTGGAATGCTGGTTGTCAGATGGTAGCCTTGAACTTCCAGACTGCTGATATCAACATGCAGCTCAATCAGGGCAAGTTTGAATACAACAGCAACTGTGGGTAAGAAGTCTTGAATCATTTGGCTTAAAAAACCACATATTGTTTTTTATAATTTTAATCTATGTTACAATAGCTTCTTCTTCAAATGTTCCACTTTCACAGTCTAACAGTATGTACATGTAAACATGGAAAACCAAGCTTCTGGCAATAACAATGGCGAACACTTACGTTTTTGAACTAGTTTCTATTAATTGTCGTTTTTAGATTTGTTCTGTCCACTGAGGAAGGCTCTTAATCAAAACATTCTTCTTTTATTGTCCTGTCTTTCTATCTTAAGCTTCCACATACCTTGTTTGACTATTTCTTTCACACAGCTTGAATGCAGTCCTTCATTTGTATCCTTTAAAAAAGAAAGTGGGGGGGGGGGTGTGTTCACTCTTATGATCTTAATGAGACCTTATCTTAAGCTTCCACATACCTTGTTTGACTATTTCTTTCACACAGCTTGAATGCAGTCCTTCATTTGTATCCTTTAAAAAAGAAAGTGGGGGGGGGGGTGTGTTCACTCTTATGATCCTAATGAGACCTTCTCATTGTTCCAAATAGACTGGAAGAAAATGATTAACTTGAATGTTTGTTGAAACCAAGTGCAAAAAATTCAGTTTACTCTAGAAATTAGCAAGAGAATATCAGCTTGAACTCATCATCTGCCAATTCATTTGGCATGTTTGGTTTTTCTTAAACATTCAATTTAACGGCAACGATTAAAATAATGTAATATATGTAACATACATATACAAAAATTGGGATAGTTCATAGACAAATCACTTAGTCTATAAATAGCTTGGTCCCACCCCGCTATGGTATTCTCATTAATGCCACGTTGGCAGGAATATACTCCTGAGATATGGAAATCCTCTTGTTAACGTCTCCTCTTCTGATAGATAAATGATAACGCCATTTTTTGTGTTTTATCCAATAAGGTATTTGCTGAAACCTGACTTCATGCGCAGACCTGATCGGACATTTGACCCATTCTCAGAAAGTCCTGTGGATGGTGTGATTGCAGCCCATTGCTCCGTAGAGGTATGATTTAACCCAATAAATTTACCATCTATTTCTGATGGGTTTTGATTAATTTGTCTTGTAGAATAAATATAACTTGAGAGATCGGAAATCACAAATCTCTTAAACCATTTTCAATATATATATATATATATATATATCTCTCTATATATATATACATATTGTTAATAAAATTTAATAAAATATTTTGATTTCATCTGCAAATTGAATATTACAATAAATGTCAATAGTGCAGAAACAAACTTTAAACAATATATATAAGATAGATAAGATAAGATAAGATAAATATAGGTTCACCCACCATGATATGGGAAATCCATTGGACGTCAGAGCCAGAAGCAATCAAGTTTGCTGACAAAAAAATGTCAAAATACAAAGATTGGTACCTGAAATGTGTTGACTCTAAATCAAAAATGGCAAAATGAATACACTATAAAATGTCATCTTTTTTTTTTTTTTTGCAAATCTGGACCACCACAAAATGAGATGAAGTGGTGTTAGCAGAGTAACAAGAAATGGCAAGACTTCCTATACTCTGGGAATGAGAGGAACCATGTGCCTGAGATAGGCTTACATTGATGATTGAGACTTTCCTACTCTATATCCAAACAAGATGTGCCAAATCAATGTTGTTGTTTTTAATCTACGCATCAGCTGAAGATGAGGTGAATTAACACTTATGACCATCTACAGGACACAATTGATGAGATTTCAAGCAAATGTCATGCTGTGATCAAATTTCAACAAATCTTCAGAGGAAGAAAACTGAGCCCGCATTAGTTGCTATTAGCTGTAGATAATTACAGGGAAAGAGGAAGCAAGGATGTCATTTTAAAAGGACCTTGAACAAATTTGACATCAGCTTTAAAAAAAAAAACCTCAAAGAGTTTCTTGACAAAGACATACACAATCAATTCTTGCTCATCTAAATTAATTCAGAAATCTATTATTAAATAATAAAATAAAATTTTTTGTTGGATGTACTTCCTCTGTCACTGCATAGTGGAATGAACAACAGCCTTCCATTGGTATCACTGTTTCAGTTGATTTATTGACACCCATTGGTATCACTGTTTCAGTTCATTTATTGACACCTATTGGTATCACTGTTTCAGTTCATTTATTGACACCCATTGTTATCACTGTTTCAGTTCATTTATTGACACCCATTGGTATCACTGTTTCAGTTGATTTATTGACACCCATTGGTATCACTGTTTCAGTTGATTTATTGACACCCATTGGTATCACTGTTTCAGTTGATTTATTGACACCCATTTGTATCACTGTTTCAGTTCATTTATTGACACCCATTGGTATGACTGTTTCAGTTGATTTATTGACACCCATTGGTATCACTGTTTCAGTTGATTTATTGACACCCATTGGTATCACTGTTTCAGTTGATTTATTGACACCCATTGGTATCACTGTTTCAGTTGATTTATTGACACCCATTGGTATCACTGTTTCAGTTGATTTATTGACACCCATTGGTATCACTGTTTCAGTTGATTTATTGACACCTATTGGTATCACTGTTTCAGTTGATTTATTGACACCCATTGGTATCACTGTTTCAGTTGATTTATTGACACCCATTGGTATCACTGTTTCAGTTCATTTATTGACACCCATTGGTATCACTGTTTCAGTTGATTTATTGACACCCATTTGTATCACTGTATCAGTTGATTTATTGACACCCATTGGTATCACTGTTTCAGTTCATTTATTGACACCCATTGGTATCATTGTTTCAGTTGATTTATTGACACCCATTGGTATCACTGTTTCAGTTGATTTATTGACACCCATTGGTATCACTGTTTCAGTTCATTTATTGACACCCATTGGTATCACTGTTTCAGTTGATTTATTGACACCCATTGGTATCACTGTTTCAGTTCATTTATTGACACCCATTGGTATCACTGTTTCAGTTCAATTATTGACACCCAGTGGTATCACTGTTTCAGTTGATTTATTGACACCCATTGGTATCACTGTTTCAGTTGATTTATTGACACCCATTGGTATCACTGTTTCAGTTGATTTATTGACACCCATTTGTATCATTGTATCAGTTGATTTATTGACACCCATTGGTATCACTGTTTCAGTTGATTTATTGACACCCATTGGTATCATTGTTTCAGTTGATTTATTGACACCCATTGGTATCACTGTTTCAGTTCATTTATTGACACCTATTGGTATCACTGTTTCAGTTCATTTATTGACACCCATTGTTATCACTGTTTCAGTTCATTTATTGACACCCATTGGTATGACTGTTTCAGTTGATTTATTGACACCCATTGGTATCACTGTTTCAGTTGATTTATTGACACCCATTGGTATCACTGTTTCAGTTGATTTATTGACACCCATTTGTATCACTGTTTCAGTTCATTTATTGACACCCATTGGTATGACTGTTTCAGTTGATTTATTGACACCCATTGGTATCACTGTTTCAGTTGATTTATTGACACCCATTGGTATCACTGTTTCAGTTGATTTATTGACACCCATTGGTATCACTGTTTCAGTTCATTTATTGACACCCATTGGTATCACTGTTTCAGTTGATTTATTGACACCCATTGGTATCACTGTTTCAGTTGATTTATTGACACCCATTGGTATCACTGTTTCAGTTGATTTATTGACACCCATTGGTATCACTGTTTCAGTTGATTTATTGACACCTATTGGTATCACTGTTTCAGTTGATTTATTGACACCCATTGGTATCACTGTTTCAGTTGATTTATTGACACCCATTGGTATCACTGTTTCAGTTCATTTATTGACACCCATTGGTATCACTGTTTCAGTTGATTTATTGACACCCATTTGTATCACTGTATCAGTTGATTTATTGACACCCATTGGTATCACTGTTTCAGTTCATTTATTGACACCCATTGGTATCATTGTTTCAGTTGATTTATTGACACCCATTGGTATCACTGTTTCAGTTGATTTATTGACACCCATTGGTATCACTGTTTCAGTTCATTTATTGACACCCATTGGTATCACTGTTTCAGTTGATTTATTGACACCCATTGGTATCACTGTTTCAGTTCATTTATTGACACCCATTGGTATCACTGTTTCAGTTCAATTATTGACACCCAGTGGTATCACTGTTTCAGTTGATTTATTGACACCCATTGGTATCACTGTTTCAGTTGATTTATTGACACCCATTGGTATCACTGTTTCAGTTGATTTATTGACACCCATTTGTATCATTGTATCAGTTGATTTATTGACACCCATTGGTATCACTGTTTCAGTTCATTTATTGACACCCATTGGTATCATTGTTTCAGTTGATTTATTGACACCCATTGGTATCACTGTTTCAGTTGATTTATTGACACCCATTGGTATCACTGTTTCAGTTCATTTATTGACACCCATTGGTATCACTGTTTCAGTTGATTTATTGACACCCATTTGTATCACTGTTTTAGTTCATTTATTGACACCCATTGGTATCACTGTTTCAGTTCATTTATTGACACCCATTGGTATCACTGTTTCATTTCATTTATTGACACCCATTGGTATCACTGTTTCAGTTCAATTATTGACACCCATTGGTATCACTGTTTCAGTTGATTTATTGACACCCATTGGTATCACTGTTTCAGTTGATTTATTGACACCCATTGGTATCACTGTTTCCGTTGATTTATTGACACCCATTGGTATCACTGTTTCAGTTGATTTATTGACACCCATTGGTATCATTGTTTCAGTTGATTTATTGACACCCATTGGTATCACTGTTTCAGTTGATTTATTGACACCCATTTTATCACTGTTTCAGTTCATTTATTGACACCCATTGGTATCACTGTTTCAGTTCATTTATTGACACCCATTGGTATCACTGTTTCAGTTCATTTATTGACACCCATTGGTATCACTGTTTTTGTGGATGGAGGATTCTGCCAGTTGGTCACTGAAGAAAAATCACTTGCATTTCTGTGTCTCTCCTTGATTACAACTAATTTATTTTATTTTTGTCTACCCTCAGGTCATTTCTGGTCAGTTTTTATCTGACAAGAAAGTTGGCACATATGTTGAAGTGGACATGTATGGGTTGCCCACAGACACAATACGCAGGGAGTTTCGTACAAGGGTGGTTCCTAATAATGGTCTCAACCCCATTTACAATGAGGAACCCTTTGTGTTTAGAAAGGTAACGCTTATTTTTATTTTCTAACAGAGTTTCCATGACTCATTGGTAATAATTTCTTGATGGTTGAGTTATGGTAAAATCAAGCCAAAATAATAATTGTCAAAATTATTTTAACTGGTTTATGATTAAAAGGATAATAAAGGACTGCATTCAAGCTGTGTAAAGGAAATAGTAGAGAAAGGGGCACTGGAAGCTGAAATATAAAGACGGGACAATAAAGAAAATGTTTCAGCTAAGAGCCTTCCTCAGCGGACAGGACAAGTAGAGAAAAGAGAAAATAGTTCACTGTCCTCTATTAATGAAAACTTATCTTTTTTAGCTACTTTCTATTTCTTTTTGTTTCTTTCTTCGCCCTTGTTCTTCTAAGGAAGGCACTTAGCTGAAACGTTCTTCTTTTATTGCCCTGCCTATTGCAAGCTTCCACATGCCTTGTTGCACTGTTTTCTTTATGATTAAAATTAGACACAAATCAGTGTTGTCTGAACGTTCTAAAGGTAAAACATAAAGTATTTTCTATGCAATTGTCTAGGTGGTGTTACCAGAACTGGCAGTGTTGAGGATAGCTGTGTTTGAAGACACTGGGAAGCTCATTGGCCAGCGCATCTTGCCTCTAGATGGATTACAAGCAGGTACTATTTCTAATTGAAAAAAAGCATCATACCACGTCAAGACTTCATTTGTAGAGTCTAGAACTTTATTTCTAATAACACCTGCACATTGTCATTGATGTGATAGTAAAAGTGAAAATGAGGGTGTGCTCAAAAGTTGAACATGCACATAGACATTGCAGGGATTTCATCCGTTCTGTTCAATAAGAAATTTAATGACCATGAAAAAGTTTCTCCATCTGAATTCTCAGACGTCTAGTTATGAGTTATTTATGTAGATGGAGGTTGTTGGAGTTTGGAAACTTTGTGCCAGATTGGTACTGGGATCACCATTCCATGGAATGAAAGGTGGAAGAATTAAATTTTGCTAGACTTCCTGGACATTTGAAAAAGGAATTAGGTGGCATTTATTTCAGGGGGTGCAACTTTGGTCTAATATTATGATCAGGATAAGAAAAGATACTCTGTGGAATAGGAACGTAAATCTCACCCGAACAGAAACAGAACTAACGCTAAGCTTTTGGCTGGGAAGGTCATTTTGACCATTTACTTTTAAAACGGAATGTTTTCTTCTTGGAGACTTTCTTGAAAAAGAAGCAACCGTAAACATTAAGAAATATAGTAAAACTTTAATAGTGATACAGTAGGAATAAAAAATGGAACTGTGCTTCAACATGATGCCAGGCAATGCCTCATGCAAGTCCAGGTAAGAGAGATACTGTATTTTTCAGTGTTGCCACAATATGGGAACTCTTAAGTGTTCCTACACAGTGGCAACACTGAAAGTTTTGAATGTGAAGTCGGCAACGAGACAATGATTTTAAAACTCAATTCTGACTTTATTTTTAAGGATTCCAAAAAACTAGTTTGGCATTAACAGAAGTATATTGAAGTGTTTGTTCATTCAACAAGTGTATTTATTTTGTGTATTTATTTCAATTTTGCTAAAATTATTTTTGTGTTCATTTTCCATTTAAGCGGAGACAAAACTAATCAGCCCACCCTTTGATGGATTGCCACATTAATTTCCATTTATGTGAAGGCCAAACATATCTGTTTATGTTTTGATTCATTTCTGTCTTGTTTCATTGATGTGTACAACAAGTACAGTATTTATAATTTCTTTGTCCAGGCTACCGCCATATCTCTCTGAGAACAGAAGGCAATTTCCCATTGTCTTTACCAACCGTCTTTTGTCGAATCATCCTCAAGACTTACGTCCCTGTTGAGTTTGGCGGTAAGTATTAAAGATCTTTTAGGTGCGGGGAATACCAGTGACAGTCAAAACTATTGTGCGTCACCACTTTGGGTTTGTTGATCTCATAAGTACTAAAGATCTTTTAGGTGCAGGGAATACCAGTGACAGTCAAAACTATTGTGCCATCACCACTTTGGGTTTGTTGATCTCATAAGTACTAAAGATCTTTTAGGTGCAGGAAATACCAGTGACAGTCAAAACTAATGTGCCGTCACCACTTTGGGTTTGTTGATCTCATAAGTATTAAAGATCTTTTAGGTGCAGGAAATACCAGTGACAGTCAAAACTATTGTGCCGTCACCATTTTGGGTTTGTTGATCTCATAATTATGCTGGTACCAGAGATTTGTTTGAAAGGTTCTTTGATGATTTGTGTGACTGTCATTTCCCTGTAGATTTTGTTGACGCTCTGTCAGCCCCCATCCAGGCCATGTCCCAAGCTGAAAAGCGAGAGAAAGCCATGAAGGACATGGGTATAGATGAGAAAGATATTTCAGATGTGCCGGTGGTCAGCAGACATGCAAAGATGAACAAGGTATTTATCCTGGTCGCATGGAACAAAGCGTGTGAAAAAAATTAAGCAAAATCTCTCCACGCATTATCAATTGTAATAATTGGTGGAATAAAATGAATTTTTCAATATTTGCTATGCTTTCACAACAAACAGGATTAAGATTATCAGTATTGTTGGCATTCATTGTTTTAAAATCTAAGAAACCATGTGAAATTTATGTTTAAAAAAAGATGTAAGTTTGACTGCATGAATGATTGATTCTGATTTTCCTTGAATCTTAGCCCCAAAATGGCCAGATGTCCAACTCCCCCAATAATATGTCACAGCCATCATCAAACTCTGGAACTGGCAAGAAAGATGAGAGAAAAGGTAGAAATGTCCTCATTGCCTCTGTAATATTCATCATTGGAATCGTGCATGATTAAATTCCAGCTCACCTCTCGCATTTGTATTATTTTTCTAAAGTAACATCAAAATATAATGACACCAACTTGATCCACAGAAAATGGAAAAATCAAAAAAAAATCACTTAATTAAAGGTGTTACACTTAAACGCTTTAATTATTGAAAAAAAACACACCAATTCATTTTAATTTTTCATATATGGCATAGTTATAAGAAATATTTTTAAATTCCAAGACAATTTTATAAAGCTGAACACAGTTTTAGAATGAAACAAAATGTTTTTTGGGGAAACCTTTATCGCTATATTGATATATAATGATTTGTATTCAATGACACCATTTTAAAACTAGTTGAGAAAAGATGTCTGTATATAAACATGCCCACTATCTCCTTTTTTAAAGGCATCTCAAGTGCCCTCTACCTTTCAATCACTTTTCTTAGTGCCAGAAGAAATGATTTTTGAAGCTATCACAAGGGAAAAGCTCATGTCTGAGAAGGTTTACTTCAAATTGCTCCGCAAGCAGCCTAAAGACCTAGAGATGTTGAAGCGTCGCCACCAGAAGGAGCGTTCCATGATGCAGAGAGCCCACTGCACAGTCGTGGACAAGCTGGTGGCCTCACATGATAAGGAGAAGTCAGCCACTGAAAAGTCTATGGAGAAGAAACTCAAAAAGAACAAGTGAGTTAGAGAAGTTGCTCAATTATTAGTACAGGAAATGTTTTAAGCAGTTACATATGTTTCTTAAATGAATTTAATAACATACTTTTTAGTAACACTGTGTTGGTGGAGAGCTTTTGGTTCATAAAACTCCTCGATTTTCTAGCAGGTTCTTTTTGTAATACATAACTTCTCTACAAAAAAAACACAATTTTGTACTCTGGTGATTCATACCAGTGCAATCATTTCTTTTCATAACCAAAATCTTGTCATTAGATGGGATCACATTTTTAAAAGTTTTTATGCACTTTTGCTGAGTATTATATATGCTTTCTGTTAATAATCTTATCTTAGAAATCCTAGACAATCAAACTTAAGATGATGGGACAATAAATAGACAAAGACACATTTTAACATATATTCTCTTAATTTTTGTACTTGAGACTGACTTTGGGTCATTCTGTTGGCTTACTTTATGTGGAAAAAATGATTGTGTCTTATGCTTTGTGCTCAATGCATGTATTAATCAGTTAACAAAGTGTAACAAATATACCTTATCTACAAATTGGGAAGAAAACGAATCTAAATATTTTTAAAAATCTAAAGACAATGAATATACTTGGTCACTCTGAAATTTAAAAAAAAATATTAAAATATTTAGTATGGATACAAAAAGAAATGAAACTGAAAGAAAGCATTTTCTAAGACTAAGGTTTTTTCATTTCCCCTTTCTGACAAAGAACAAAAAGGCTCGCTCACAAAATATTAATTAAGAGCTTGCTGTTAGTCTTTCGACTATTTGCTAGCAGTATTTTCAGGAAACTAAAAATAGATTTGAAGCACATAGTTTATGTACGTGAAGATGATTATTGCCTGAACCCTTAATCCTTGAATTCATCAGGTAATGTTCCACTTGCCCAATGGGTACTTTCAGGTGCTGTGAATCTAGAGATGGGGGTTATTTTCTCTTGTATTCCTTATCTGAAACAAATCTCTTTGATTATCTAGAGACAGTAGCACAGATCTCAAGTCCCAGTCTGAGGGTAGAGTTCTCAATTTAGTTAGTGATCACAAATTAAAGGTGAGTCTTATTTTATAATAGCTTTTTGAATGGAGCTAAATAAGTTAGGAAGACCTTTAAATGCTATTTGAATGACATGGCTAGGTGCTAGGTGGCTGAGTGGTCTAAACTGAGTAAAACTCAAGTTGATGGCCTGATGTTCAATCCCCACCAAAGCCAAACTGAATCATCCACATGATGTTCCCTTGGGTTATCCAGTGGCATGGAGAGAGGCAATTAGTTGTTAATCCTTATAATCCTAGAAGAATAAGATCAGGCCTTGTGCATTTCGTCCTGCGTAGTCTACACCATCATGACATTATGACGGACGGACAGTCCAGATAAATGTAGAGATATTGACATCATTACATATGTCATCTGCTTTGTTTAAACCTAATAACTGTTGAACCAAGATTACTTAGAATAAGGAATTTTTTGTTTTTTCTTTCTAAATAAGACAATAATCATCCAAATCAGGTGAAAGAACTGGTTGTCCTGCAGACAAAGGAGTGGTCTGAGATGGTTGTCAGACAAATGACAGAAGAGCATGAGCTGTGGCGAGAGCATATCGTACAACAGAATGAAACTCTGGCCAAACTCTTGGAGGATGCACAGAGAGAACAGATGGCTGAGCTTGAAGCAAAACAGGAGAGGTCAGTTGGCACCACAAACTTAACATTAATAAACAAAAATTGAGCTATACGTTACAAAGAAATATGTATTTAAGTACATAAAATAGCAGTTGTCCTGTCTCTTTTGTTTCAGAGAAAACAAAGAACTTAAAGCCAACCAGGCCAAGCATTCAATGGAATCTACCAAGACTGTCCTCAATGACAAAAGTATCAAAAACAAGGCAGAGAGAGATAGGTACTGTTATAAAAAAATCATGTTACTTGACACTTCATTTAGGAATAACTTATCATCATAAATTAATCTCTTTCTACAAGTCACCTCATTTACCGAGTTATTTAATTTTGGATTTTAAAAAAACACTTTTTGGATCCTCCCTAAAATTTAGTTTCTGTTACAATTTTACACTGATTGTTTCAACATTGAGCCTCTGTGCAATCATCCTTTGGAGGCATTGACACATTCATTGCTGTCAACTAATGTCACTGAAATATTTGTAGTAATGATGACACTTATATTAACATCCAGCTTCTTATCTTTCTTATAAAATGAAATAATACATAAAATGTAGTTTGCTAATGTTCTTTCTCTTTTAAGGACTGTACACATTTGCAAAAAGTGTTCGGATTAAGAAAAAAAGACTGTTTTTTTATTTTAAATACTTAAGCACACATTGGGCTAATTGCCTAACCTGCTCTTTGTTCACATCTCAACAATGTATCTAGTGGCCTTGGAGCACTCTGTGACAATCTTCATGTTGTTATCAAAAACATTTATAAAACTCATTCTAGCCTATTGCTAAACCCAGCAGAGAGATGCATTTTTTTACTTCTCATTTGATGAGTGTTTAATCTGGTCTATATCAGGCGCATAAGAGAACTGAATGAGAACAACACTAAGAAGTTCATAGAAGAGAGGAAAAGGTTTGCTGTCAAACACTCCAGGCAAGTTGAGGCCCTGAAGAAAGTCCACCATGAGCAAACTGAAAAGATGATTGCAGAAAACCAGAGGGTAAGAAAATGTGTTACTGCCATGTCATTTCTGGAAGTTCAGGAATATTTCTTACAATCCAGATTTCAGTTTTATGTCTCTCATGACTAAATCAGTTTACATTTGATCAAATAATGTTCAGTTATTACCAGCTAACCTGCCCCTTAGCCTTCAAAAGACAGTGTCTCAATTTAAGAGACAAAAATAAAAAAAGTCTTGAAGTTATTTTATTTGTTAAAAATCCTATGATCAAGTAATATGATGTGGTTTAATAGCTTTTTTAGGATTTTAAACAAAATTTAATTAAACATTTTTTTTAAAGAGATCATTTATTGTCATTATAGAAAAAAATCAGAATAATTTCTATTAAAAGTAACATAAGCATGCATTGTCCTGAACCGCTACAGGAATACCTCTAGTGTTGGCAGCATGCTGGAAAAACTAGGCTAGTCACCATTGGAGGAACGACGACGACAATCCAGGCTCTCCATGATGTACAAAATAGATAATGGGCTGGTCCACTGTTCCAGTATTAAATAGAAACTCGTCCCTCTCCCCCATAAGACAGTGACGAGGCCATGACAGGCCATTCCGGATCATACCAGCGAGAAGCCAGTATAGGAAATGCTCATTCCTGCCAAAGACAATCAGGGACTGGAAGAAGCTTCCAAAAGGAACAGTTGAGGCGAAAACACTTGACACATTTGCGTCTATTGCCTCAAGCCTTCCGACCCCCAGTGCATGATTCCCTCACAAAGTAGCACTTGGAATCAGTGAAATATCCTCATCAAAACCGGCACAGAAACTTTGCGAATCTCCTCTACATGCATAGGAACCAAAATGATCAATAAATTGATCGTGGGCCCTTAATATATAGAAGAAGAAGATAAGCATTAAGTTTATAGTTTAGTCTTTGTTTATCTAAAGCGTATATTACTTCCGGGGCACCTCTCAGCAAGCGATTCGATGGCACCTGTGCATATTTTTTTCAGCTTTTGTAATAGTTTTGTGGTTTGTTTTGTTTTCTTTGGACTCAAGGAGTGGTAAATGTGTCAATTTTGCTTGAACTGATCATTTTGTGTTTTATTGTGAGTAACAGCGGTTAAACAGGATTTTTGGACATCGTAGGCTTCAACCAAATTCACATACTTCATCTTTGATCAAAGGATCCACCATTTTGTATTAATGTGTGATCAAAGCAACAAACCAAAGACAAGTCAGCTGCAGACATTTTGATTATCCATAAAAGCCAGGAACTCCATTCGAACAAAAAGTTCAGACTCTGTTCCAAGTGCCAACATAAGCTCACGAACCCAACATCTATTCTATTTATTACAGCCATGTTAATGATTCACCAAACGCTTTGTTGCGGACCAATTTTGGGGAACAACTCCAAAACTTTCAAGACTAAAAACAATAAGTGCAATACAATCAAAACAAATTTCCATTTCTTAGGATCAATAAAAAGCATCTTATTTCATCTTATCATATCTTATCTATCTTACCTCCTTTGTCTCAGAGCCTAACCAACTTATAGAATTCCTCATACCCGCTGAACAAATTAAGTTTACTTTTTAAAATTGCTAATGACTGGTTCTAATGAACACATTTATCTTCTTGACCAGGCTCTGGACATGATTCAGATGGCATATGAAGAAGCTAAGATGGCATCCAGGCCGGAGACTGTGGTTTAACTCTGATCAGCCAGGAACTGTGGTTTAACCGGGATCAGCAAGTGGTCTCATTACATATATGCATCAACATCTCTCGGCATGTACTTGAAAGCCGACTCAAGAATATGTTTGTTGTGTTTCTAAATTCTATCTGTTTGTTTCGTCCACTGTGCTGCAGTCTTTTGGCTAAATTTACACACAATAGTTACATGTACATAATAGTGTTGCAGCTGTTGCTCAAAGCAATTGTTTATCTGGATGTATTCTATCTTAAGTGAAAGTGCCGGAAGAGGTTTTATTCCTGCCGTCCTTGTACACAACTTGAGTGGTCTCCCCTACAGATAGCGGTTTGTTCGTTGATGTTTGGTATGTAAAGCAATTACTGCATTCCTCACCAAGCTCCCATGGACTGTTACCTCTTGCCAAATGGTTGGCTTTAGCATCTATGTTAACATTGGCATTTTCTCAAAATGAAATACTGGTCTGTGATGTTGGAAATCCATCAAAGTTGTATCTTATCATGAAACTAGTGCAATGATTTCATGTTTGTTGATCATTAGCCAAATTTTGTCATATCAGCAAATATATATGTGTGTATATATATATATATCTATCTATATCTATATATATATATATATATATATATATATATATATATATATATATATATATATAATATATACACATATATATATTATATATATATATATATATATATATATATATATATATATATATATATATATATATATATATATATATATATATATATATATATATATATATATATATATATATATATATAATATATACACACATATATATTATATATATATATATTTACACATATATATATAGATAGTGTTGATGGAAAAGTCATTCAGATGGAATGCTTTGAATTATAATACATAATCTCTTCTGTTTGCATAATATGAAATTTGTTTATTTTATTAAAAACTAAATTCGTTCATCTCATCCAATCTGAGTGTACCTCTAAGTGTCTGAATTCTCATAGTTTACATCTGCCATTTTTTGTGGTGGCTGTTGGTTTAATTAGTCCACCAGGCATAATTTATATAACGTAAATGGGATTGATTGAGATGGAGTTAATTCAATAAAATTATGTTAAAAATAAAAGATTGCTGAGTGTGGTACAATTTGACAACATCATGAAATATAATTTAGTGAATCTTATACCATTATAATTTTAATTAAATAGCTATTCTCAAAATTTTATCTCAGATCTTTCACTTGACAGATAATTTTATGATGTAAGCTGAGTGAAAAAAATAATAAGGGTCAACAAAAGAACGAATAAAAAATTATTTTGTTAAATGAAAAATAAATAATTTAGACCAGCTTGTATAATAAATGAGCTCAACACCTCATCCAATCGCACATCAGCTGATCCCTCCAAAACTTGACTCCTAACAATTAGCTTTGTTCATTCCTTGAATCCAGCCTACGCTTGTCTGCGATGATACAAGACACAAGCTTCTAGTTCACTCGACTTGAACTTCTGTGGTTCTATATGTTCATTGGGCTGTGTGCTACTTCTTGTTTCCATTGTTTATTGGCTTGTTTTGTGCAGCATTGCTAGTTAAGAGCTTATAACATAAGTGTTTTTTTATACTGTGAAACTTATATCACTGGATACTCGTAAGCTAATTTATTTTAAGCCTGTTGATAATTTTTATTTAGTCACGCAAATGTTCTTTGCCAAGTCAAAAATTTGGCTTTGCGATTTACTTGTATTTACTTCAAAATTGACTTTTTTTTATCAAACTTTACAAGTCTTGGTGACATTTGATTTTTGTATATGCATATACTTTCTATAAAAATTATTCAAAGATATAGAAATTATATCATTTTAATTTCTTATTTTATGCTATCATTTGAACAGTTTAGTTTATTGTCATTCCTAGTGGCCTAGTAAACTAATGTTCTGAGACAAAGAAAATGTTTGCCATTTTGAAAAGGTTTGACTAGGGCGCTAGCAATAGGTCAAGTTATAATTCCTGGCAGCATGTACAGCACCAAGCTGTTTTTGCATAAGGATATGTAATCATTTAGGCGTATTTGTTCTCATCCAGGTAGTACTGATGATTTCAGCTGTTTTGGCTGCCCAATAGGAATCTCAGGTACACAATATCACAGTCAAGATTTTTCAAAGTTATTTTTATTATTATTATAACATTTTTTTAGTATTGTTTTTTTGTGTATTTAATTTTTATCATGTTGTCTTTTTTGTTGTTTTTTGTTAAATTTTCATGGTTTAATGTATATTTATAATAAGTTGTTTAAGATTTTGAAAGGGCTAAATCAAGTTGTTATAAAAAATCTCAAAATCATAATTTCCAGGATATCACTGGTCAATCAGTAATATAAGATAAGATAAGATTCTTTTATTGATCCAAACAAATGGAAATGTTTTTTGATTACATTGTTCATATACATTTCAGCACATCAATAAATACAAATTTTAAAAAGTCACATTTTCCAACTAAAAACAATTTAAGCACAAGACATTGAATGGTTTCTCTAGTGTAAAGAACAGCCAATCAGTTAACTACCTTTGTCACAATAGAGACTTAAATAGTGATCATTTAGATTTTTTACCTCTGGGGGAACACGCTGCTTAATTCGTACAGATTGGGGAACAAATGAATTTTTATCTTTCATTCCTCGCCCTGAGAGAAAGAATTCGTCCCGAACAGGCTGATCTTAAGTATCTGTGATGAAGAAAGTGGGATGTATCATCCAAAATTTGTTTAGTCTTACAAAAACATCTTTCTTCAAATAGTTCTTCAAGTGAAGAATGTTTAGTTTGTGTTATGTTTCTAGCTTTCTTGATTAGTCGGTTTAGTGGGTGTTTATCAGACTTTTAATTCCCACACCAGTAGGTAATATTGAAACTAGTAGGCTTCCAATTGTTGCACTGTAGAATAAGTTAAAGACTTGCTTGTTTACACAGAAATTGTACAGTTTTTTTTAAGATAGAAAAGTCTTTGGTTGAATTTATTATACAACATTTGGTCATGCTCATGCCATGTTAGCTTATTATTAATGGTGACACCCGAGTAGTTAGATGTCTCTAATTTCTCTAAACTTTGATTTATTTTGTTGAGATCTGCAATCTGATGTTTCCCCTCCAGAAATGGACAACCATTTCCTTTGTTTTTGAGACATTCAGCTGGAGAAAATTTTCATTGCACCAATTGATAAAGCCTGTAACTAAGTTGCGGTATAAGCCTTCTCCTTCAGTAATAAGCCAAAGATGGTGGTATCATTAGCAAATTTTATGATTGGAACGGTGTTGCTTGGGATCTGAAGATCATTGGCATATTTTGTATT